GAAGGCATGTCACGTCGATGAATTTGGAGGAGTTGGAGGGCTTTGCTGTCGGCGCGGATGGCGGACGTGACGTTGTTGACGGAGGTAGTGGCCAGAGAAGAGGGAAAGTGAGAGTAAGGGAAAATCGGTAGATGACGTTCTTTTTTAGTTCAGTTCAGACTTGTTCAGAAACGCCCTTTTAACACTCGTATATTTACAATATTGCCCAAGCTATTTAAAGATTGAAAAAAAAAAAAAAAAAAAAAAAAAAAAAAAAAAAGACAAATTTCACTAACGGATTTCGGACGGAATGAAAAATTAAATTGTTGATTTCCGTTGGTGAAGCGTAACGGACTACCAACAAAAATGTATAGTAACAAAAATGTATAGTGTTGCTAAACCGTCGCAAAAGTCGTCACTAAAATCCATATAATTAAAATTTTCTAATTTGTCGAAAATCCGCCGGTATTCCGTCTCTGTTTCCGACGGATTTTTTCCGTCACTAAATTCTGTCGGTAATGCCCTATTTTTTAGTAGTGGACAGTTTGGAAATCTGATAGATAAAGCATAATACACATTGGCTAATATTTTGATTGTTTGCGGCACACAATATTCAATGTATTAAAAGAATACATATTTTATATATCTTTACTATCTTATAAAGAAATCTAACTATTTCTAAAAATAGATTGATTATAATAATAATATTTTTTTAAGACGTCCAAATGATGAAGCTGATAGTACAACTAGCCATTAATAAAATAATATTAAATTTTAACCACATTTTGAATTCAAATATTTATCATCAAATCTCCTTATATTTCTCAGCAATTTGATATGGTTCCCTCAAATCCCGGATTCATTCAAATTTTGAACCCTTTTCGATATCCTTAAATTTAGCATGTTAATTTAAATATCCCTCCAATCGCAGATACCTCTTTGTTCCCTCGTCTGCTATAAAACCCACCGTCTAGGAATAAAAAATGATTTCATCTCCCAAATAACACCATAGTTTGATTATTTTGTCTTCGACATGTACTTTCTTTTGTAACATAACATTTTTGTAGATGAAACATATCACCGAAAAAATTTACACACCCCGCCACTTTGCGTGGGTACGCTGCTAGTGTGTGTATATATATATATATATATTTTGATGTTAGAATTTTGAAAAAACTTCTATAAAAATAATTGCTATAAAATCTGGTACCAAACAAGAAATAATTAAAGAGGCAATGTTAGAAAAAAAAAAATGAGGTATTAATAGTAGTATGTTATTTAATTTCTTAGGACGGCCTATAAACTATCACACATAGCCACACAGGACTTAAAATTCCAATAGATTATAATATAAAAAAAAAAAAAAAAAAAAAAAAAAAAAAAAACAAATGGCCGAGAGGTTCTTAACCATTAAGAGATGTATTATAATATGCATTAGAGAAGCACTATACAAAAATTTTGCTTAATCATGGATGTTTTCCCAAAATCACTGTATACATTATTAATCAAGCAGAAATATTAATATACGATAATAAGAATCGATTGATAACTCAAACCATATTATTAAACAATCAAGATGCATAATAACTAATACATGGATTTATTGTTCTGTCACGTTTTCACGCACATTATTTTACAATGAACAAAGAAAGTGATGCCCTTTTTCTACGGATACTCAATACCACAACAGATTAATTAACATACATAATCCAATCAGTAATTAAGCACACACATTATTAGAATCTTCACAAATATATCCAATGCATGACACAACTTTTATTACCTTCACGAACTAGTAATTTTCTGTCATCTTTTTCAGGAACAAGTAATTAAATGCCACAATATGTAACCTGAGTATCAAAATACATAGTCAATAATTTCATTATTATATAATTGATGTTTTGATGAACTAGATGACACGTACCATGATGCATGTGGAATCATTGCTAGTCAACAATCGTGCCTTTGAGATTCAAATTTGGGCATTCATAAGTAATTATAGTTACTATTGATGGGAAAGTGACGCCAATCTTTTTCAGCATCGGTAGGTCTTCAAAATAGAGTGTGTCTAAATCTGGCATATAGTACACGCGTGTAAACAGAATCTGCAACTTCTCACATGACTTTATCTCGATGGTTTTAACAGAGTCGAGAAAAGAGGCAACATATTCAAGCATCGGGCAACTTTCCAATATAAGAGTAGAAAGACATCTTAAACATGAGATTCCGTCCAAACTCTTCAAACTAGTCGCACCAGTGATCGATAATGTCTCTAAAATATCGGATGATTGAAAGATGCGCTCAATTTGCTTCACTTTTGGGCATTCCCAGATTTTTAGAGTTTGTAACTTTGGAAATGAGAGGCCAATGTTCTCCAGTTCTGGTAGTTCCCATAAATGCAATGTTTTTAAGCTTGGAAGTATACCATGATCCGTTGGATCAATGAGTGTTACTATCTTGTCACAGTGTTTGATTTGAAGAACTTCCAAGTTCTTTGGTAGCCATGATGATTGAAATACGACTGAAAGCTTTGGACAACTTTCCAAATACAAACTTTTGAGACTATGGAAGCTCCCAGATGCCTGTTTCCCTTTATATATGCTTTCCAAACGACGATTATTCGAAATTCCAAGATTCTGCAAGAAAATTGCAGAATTGGAATTTTCGTCTCCTTCCTTTTCGGTAAAAATGGTGATTGTTTCATCACACCTGTCGATCCAGCATCCATTTACTTGCTTGAGCTTAGAGACATCAAACTCAGATGGCAAACCATTGAACATATTATCAATCAGAAAGACCATGTTGACTTTACAGATGATGTTTTCGATACCCTTTGGGAAATGGTTAAAACCACGAATCTGCAACGACTTGTTTCCCTTGTATTGAGGAATCCCGCATGCTTGGAGGTAGACATCTCGAAAAACAAGTTCATGTCGTTGAAGATATCGATCTCCTGTTTCACCTTCCACCATGTAAGGAACTGCACATAAATGGCTCTCCTCTTGCAAAGGGTTTTCCTTGAGAATTTCAAGAAACTGAGAACCACTAGTAAATATGGGAGCTTTGTTATCCTCAGACAACCGACAAATGCTCCATTCATCTTGATTCGCCTCTTTTGATGAAGATTCTTCATGGCTGGTGTTAACGTTGACATTTGGAAACTCGATGTGGTCAAGATGACTTAATCCAGACATCTCATCAGGTATTTTTGGGTTGGACCCCAAGAGATCTTTAAACTCGTCATCTTCGGAGGACTCCGCTATAGAACAACCTTGAAGTAGGAGCTTTTGAAGGGTGTGGGACCCACTGAGGTTTGTCAAACGTTTAATGGATGATCCTGAAAGATTCAATACTTCAAGCTTACTTAATGGCTTCAAATCTAGTTCTGCATCTAAGCATGAGCAACCAGCAAGAGAAAGACGAGTAAGGTTTGTGAATTTTGAAATGGAGGGAATCTGTTCGAGGGAAGTATTAGAGAGGTCAAGAATTTGAATGTTGCTCATGTCCTTCATTAATTCAGCTCCATTAGGTTTCAAGGTGACACCAGAAAGATTTAACTCCTCAAGATTCGGCAAGGATACATTTAATTCAAAATTCTTCAAGGCTTTGCAGTTCTTTAGTAGGAGCTGACGGAGATGGCTTGGATTTGAAAGGGAAGGGAAGGACTCAATCTTTGTTTCAGAAAGATCGATCTTTTGAAGGCGAGTTTTTCCCTCGAAAGATTGATTTCCAATATCATCTAAAGCACTACACCATGAGGCATCAAGAATCTCCAATTTTGTAGCAGATTCTAGCGAGGGCAAACGTTTTAATGATGGACAACGTGATAGGTACAATTCACGAAGATTGGAAAGCCGTGAGAGGGAAGGAAGATCTACAACATTAGTTTCTGAGAGGTTGAGGACTCGAAGATCTGTGAGTCGATCAAAGAATCCCACCTCAAACTCTTTAAGATTCTTTGAACCTGAAACATCAAGTACCTCGAGGTCTCGAAGGGATTCGATGCATGGAAGTCTTTCTAACTGAGGGCAACTCTTAAGATAAAGAGAACGAGGGTCGGAAATGTTAGAAGGAAGACGATCAATTGCAGTTTCGGATAGGTCAAGGGTTTTGAGGGATCTTAAGCTTTGTAAAGACGAATCGTGGAACTCTTCGAATTCTATGGAACCAGAGAGATCAAGAGTTTGGAGACTGGTTAGTGAAGTTAGCCCTCGCAATCTGCCTAAACCTTTACATCCCCGACATAACAAATGAGTGAGTGATTCAATGTTTTTGAGCAATGGGGTTGTGGAAACCAAGGTATTAGAAAGATTAAGGCTTTGAAGATTCTTAAATTTCAAGAAGTTTTTATCGACAGTATCCAAAACGATATTACCCGAGAGGTCAACAACCAAAAGATGTTCGAGTTTTGAAAGGCTCTCAAGCTTTTTCAAACGCCGACAATCCTTAATGACTAGCCAACGTAGTTCAAGAAGATTATAAAAGGCCTGAGGTAAATAACTGATTTGAAGTCCAGATAGATGAATACTTTGAAGATTCACCATGTTCTTGAAAAATATCGATTTTAATGACCTCAAAGACCTTCCACCAGAGATCTCAAGAACACGTAAAGCTTTTAAAGGGAGCTTGACATCTTGCAAAAACTCACAACCTCTAAGCACAAGAACACGAAGCTTCTCCATCATATCCAACGAATTTGGCAAAGATTTGATGGTGGGATTGAATAAAGCTAGAACTTGAAGTTCCTTTTCGTATTCAAGGAAGTTCATCATGACTTGCTCGCTAAAATGGGTCCCGTCTAATAATAAAGTCGAAAGATTCTGACCAACTTCCTTTGATGATGATTGTTTCTGCTCTTGATTCTTCTCTTTCGTACGTGTCCGAGGTGTTTTTAACATTCCATCTTCATGTGTGATTCGCCCAAAACCTTCTACATCAGAAGTAAACACAGTCGCCAAACCAAGATTTGCGTTTTGGTCAACGTACTGATAGAGATCATCAACGTTTATAAGTGATTTATCCATGAAAACATAATCACCCTCTAGCCCTTTGAGTACGCCATAATCCATTAGCTCCATTACAATCCCATGACCTTTGTTATACAAGCTAGTCATGCTACCATAACCCAAATACCCTTCCAAGATCCAGTAAGTTATCAGCTCGTTGTAGTGAACACTTGCTGAATCACGAAAGAAATGGTGACCATGCCACCATAGATCTTTCAAAATACTGATGGGCAACACATCATGCTTCATGCACAATAACTTGTTTACACTATATTTGTGAGATGTTTCTTCCAACTCCTTTTCAAGAATAGACATTCTACATTCATCTACACCAAAGTAATTCAAGGATTTTGCTATCATAATAACTGTACCAGGAAAACCGTCACTTTTTTCCATCAATGTTCTACCTAGATCTAGGATTCTTTCCTTCTTCCTCAACTGAGCATCAAGTTTTCCTATCAATAAAGCATTAGACTCTTCTTTAGGGAAAGCTTCAACCTCAATAGCATCAGAAATATCTTCATGTTTCCTCTTTAATCTTGATATTAAAAGAGTTTTGAAGTTTTCATTAGGAAACATTTCATTCCATAGTGACCAAAATTTTGTTTCATTTGAATCATGTTCAGTTTCGTGATCTAGGTGAACATCATCTAAAATTAGAAGAATTTCCTTTTCTTCAAGTTTCTTCTTTTCCTTTTCTTCAAGTTTCTTCGTTTCCTTTTCTTCAAGTTTCTTCTTTATCTCTTTAATCAATGTTTCTGAGTCTTGAACCTTATCATCGTTTTCCTTTAGTTCCTTATTTTCATCCCCATCCTCCCACTCCTCATACGTAGTAGGAAGTAAGCATAGCTGTTGAGCAATACTTTTGGAGAGAGACTCTTTCGTATACTCTTTGCACATAAACACCCAAAGTGTGACATGGATAATTTTCATCCTGGTGGCAAGCTCACTTACTCTCTTTGCCATCCATGTTTTCCCAACTCCTGGAGGCCCAAACAGATTTACTTTCTTGTGATCTTTTAGGCTTGCACATATTTTGCTCACATGCTGAATTGAACTGAGCACCTTTTCCTTGCCATTATTATTCTACAATTATAATGAATATAAAATAAATTTAGTACTTTCGGAATGTAATCAAAAGTGATCAAGTTATATGATGGTCATTTAAAACCCATGTACTAGATGATGGCTTTATTCTTTCAATTGACACATAAAGGTGTTTAGTATAAACCATTAACTTTTATAAAATTGTGGATACTATTTTCTTCCTTTGTAGAATTTTTAAAAACACAAAGGGTGGTTTAGAGAGGGGTAAATAGAAGATTATATATACCTAATTTTTAGAGTTTTGACTAAAACATAGTAATTAGAAAACAAAATTTATTTATACATAGTGGTTTTGAATTTATTTAGCAAACAAAATAGACTCTACCAAATATGTACGATGGCGAAAATGCCTATTTGAGTTCCCTTTATTTGTCACACACTAAAACTCTTACCTTGTATCTAGGATAACCTCATAGACATGCGAAAAGTATTTAGTTGTAGTAGTAAAAGCACTATATTTTTTTTTAATTATTTTAACTCGATTCAATCCATTTAGAAGAGAAAGGAGATGGGGAAATAACCATCCATGGCACTAAAAGTTTAATGAATACATACAATTGTTAACTATTTGAAATCATGTTATATAGATTGTTATAGGATATGTAGATTCCTATTTTTTTTTCTTCTCCAAAAGAGGTCTCGGGTAGATAAGACTGCACTCCGGTATATATAAATGTGAATAAGACCATATGTGAAGCCGATGTGGGATACTAACACATCCACCAGAGGAAGGTTGGATTAGATTAGACTGATGTGTCAAAGCTTGAGGTGCTCAACTTTGGCTCCAATACCATATTAATTAGATTGTTATATGATGTGTGGAGTCCTAAATTTTCACTCCAAAAGATCCACTAAAGAGAGAGGGTTAACTCCAATATAACTAGTGGTGACCGAAATTATCTATAGTCAACAAGGGAAAACAACAGATCATATTTTATTAGAAAGTTCTTACCTTAAAGTTTTAAACTATGATCTATTTGAATTTGACTTCATAATGTCATTACCTACCATGTTTAGGTCGATCCAAAATTCACATAAATCGACAACAAAACTTCAAGTCCTCTAAAAAAGATGGTAAAATGGTCTATTAGTTTTCTAGAACCTTACTAGTAAATATGTAGGGTGTGTGTATGTATGTATGTATGTGTCTGTATTCATTTTCTTCTCTTGTATAATAAGGCAAGACTCTAGTATAAATAGGTCCCATTTCATTTGTAATCATCCATCAACTTTTGTCAACTTCATCTTATAAGATAACTATATTTTAAAGTTTATTCTTAGTTTCTTCCCTTGTATACTTGTTTACAAAAGTGCCTCGATTTAGGCTACTTGGCTTTAAGACAAAGTATGAATGGTGAACTTGGAGAGAAATGTCTATGAGAAGTGATATCAAATTGGGCTCTTTTAAGGGATGGGATAAGGTTCCAAAACCATGTTTAAGTGAAGGCAATGGGTACAATACTAGATTTAAAAATTGAACTACGGATGCCTTATCAAGAATGAAGCCCCGATGTATAATGAACAGTCCTTGTGGAGCACATTTGAGATAATAGATTATTTTAAAACAAGAGAAAAACAATGATGATCTCTTAAATAAGATAAAAAGGATCTTATGGAAGACCTTAGTTCTGATAAAGGTTTCATTGTTCAAAAATAATTTCTTTAATTGGTTATACCAAGGAAGTCAACTTTGATAAAAATTTATCTTTGAAGAATTTTATGTCAAACCGATAGTGGGTCACTTCAAAAAAGAAGGGACTTAACTACGTATTGTGTGGAAGGTTTTTGGGATGGGAATAATGAACGATATATTTGATATGATCAAAGCATGTGATCTTTGTCAAAGAAACAAACGTTTGTCTTGAAATGTGGCGACGTTGCTACAACTTATACGTTTACCTTTGAAGGTATGGAAAGAAATCATAATGGCCCTCATATATAGTTTTCTAAACTCCGGACGAATGAATTCTATTTTTGTAGTAAGAGGAATGAATTTTATAATTATTGTAGTTGACTAATTGAGCAAATATATTCCTTTATTTAGTCACCTCGAAGCATCCATTTACAGCTTAATCGGTAGCTAGATTTTTTACCAAGGAAATTACTTATTTACATGTTTTAATGTCAACCAATATGGATTAGAGGTTGAATTTTAGAAAGTCGATTTTTGAAATAGATTTTGACAAGGGACCAACAACGCAACTCGTTGATTCACCTATGGATTGTTGGGAACGTGGAAAGACGGTCAAATTCAAGTCACATATTCTTCAATTTAAAATAAAATTATATTAAATATTTTAGTTCCATAGTTTGATTTTTTATTATAGATTTTTTGTTTTTTATTCCATAAAATAGAAGTAATAATAACGCTATTTATTATTACGCTAGGTTACCTTTCTATTTAGGATCATATTAATGTCTGAATTTAATGTGTCGGTTATCAATCTTCACATTTATTATTATTGTAATGATTTGGAGTTTACTAGTCTCCTATAAGAAGATTAGATTGTTATGTCCAGGACATTGAAATATTATATTCCCTCAGTTTCAATATTATTGTTCAAAGATAAAATAACACACAGATTAAAAAATACATTAATTATCATTAATTTTATATAATAAAATGACAGTTTTGTTCTTATTTTGCATTTAATGTTCCATTAAATGCTTAGTAGGTTAAGTAATAATGAGGGGTATTTTGGTATAAATATTATTTATTTTTATAAGTGGACTATTATTTTGGAACAAACTAAAAAGAAAAGATGGACTATAATTTTAGGACGGAGGGAGTAATAAAAGTCTACCGTTTTAAATTCTCTTTATTCTTTGCTAGATATTGTCTACGTTTTATCGCTTCCATATTGTGTGATACGCGAAGGTTTGCAAAACACGTCCTGTGTCAAGTGGTATCAGAGTTCGTTAGTATCTTGATGACATACTAAGTTGGATTTAATCGTGAGGTTGATGTTCTTTCTCGAGTGAACGATAATTTTGTCGTCGAGCTTGAACAACTATGTGTCGCGATCGTAGATGGTCGGAATAATCACACAAATTATATATATATATATATATATATATATATATATTATATATATATATATATATATATATATATATATATATGTTCAGTTTCATTTGAGACCATTCTAATTTTGTGAGACCATGAGACCAAATCTAAAAATAATTTTAAAATGCAAAATAAAATGGAAAAATTCAAAAATTCTTTTTTTAAATATTATTTTCGGAACTTGAATTAACTAAAAAAAATATAAAAAAAATAAAAAAAATTCCGTTTTTTTTGAAAAATACGTGAAATATTCTAAATAGAATATTACACTGACAATTCTAAAAAATAATTTTAAAATGCAAAATAAATGGAAAAATCTAAAAATTCTTTTTTTAAATATTATTTTCGGAACTTGAATTAACTAAAAAAAATAAAAATAAAATTAAAAAAAAATTCTATTTTTTTTTAAAAATACGTGAAATATTCTAAATAGAATATTACACTGTACATATTCTAAAAATAATTTTAAAATGCAAAATAAATGGAAAAATCAAAAAATTCTTTTTTTAAATATTATTTTCGGAACATGAATTAACTAAAATAAATAAATAAATAAATAAAATAAAATAAAAAAATGCGTCTCACGGTCTCACAAAATATAGGTGGTCTCAAATGAACCTAACCCTATATATATATATATATATATATATATATATATATATATATATATATATATATATATATATATATATATATATATATATATATATATATATATATATATATATATATATATATATATATATAAAGAAAAAGAGTTGCAAGAAGGCTGAATATTCTACTCGAAGTGTTCTATCAGTAATAAGGTATGACGCTTAATTACTCATAATGCTAATAATTTTGTCTCGCATGATCTTGTTAAGTACTTACAATTACCAATAGAGACTTGTGAGAGCGGAAAAAAACCTATAGAGATGATGTGATTTGCGAGGTTGTTGACATGGATATATGTCATGTTCTACTGGGAACATCGTGGCAACAAGAAGTTAGTGGTATTTATAAGAAACAAAAAAAAATATATCTACATTTTTACATGGGAATAGAAACGAAATGCAATCCTCCATATCAATGCAAGAACCCAAGTAGCAAAATCGAAGGTCAAACAACAAATAATTCGAGACTAACGTATAGATATTGAAGAAAAAAACTTTAATAATAATGGTTTTGATAAATCTCAAGGTAAACATATTGTTAGAAAAGATATCAAAGTCTTTGTCAAAATTTTGGAGGAGGATAATAATTTTAACTTGATAAAAGAATATGATATCAAAGCTCATGAATATTCTAAAGAAAATAATGGTTCAAAATTTCTTCAAACTTGGAACATGGATGATATTGAAAGCCCAGATAAAAAGTTATTGGTGGATAATGATGAATTTTTCGACGTTGATCAACAATATTTCAACCAAAAATGCCTAATCCAAGAACTCGAGGACGAGTTCTTTTCAAGCGAGGGGATTGATAAGGGACCAACAACGCCTGAGTCTGAGTCTGATCAGGATCGGTTCGGGCTCGTTTAAGTTATATGAGGTTCAAGCTCGAGCTCGGCTCGATTTGAGCTTTTTTGTACTAAGCTCGGCTCAAGCTCGTAAATAATTATACAAGCTGAGCTCGGGCTCGATTAGTTTTTTGTTCGACGTGCCTAAATAAGTTTAAGTTCGGCTCGAGCTAGTTAAGAAACTTGTTTATTAATACCATGAATTCCTAATTCCCCAAATATTTTTATTTTAATATATAAAAATAATAATAAATTATATTATATAAAAGCTCGTTTAGGCTCACGAGCCTAATCGAGCTTAGTGATATAGGCTCGAGCTCAAGCTCGTTTAATAAACAAGCTTAATATTAAGCTTGAGTTCGGCTCGAGCTCGTTTAAAATCGGTTCTGAGTCAAGCTTTTAACGAATCGATCT